CCTGGTTGATAAGCCTCTTCAGTTCTACGAGCGTATTGCTTACTATGCTATCGCGGAGTGCTGTCTTGTTACTGCAGTAAGGGACGGAATGAATCTAATACCTTATGAATATGTTATATGCCGGCAAGGAACGGAGAAGCTGGATGCTACCTTGGGCTTGAACCCCACTGCACCAAAGGAGAGCATGTTGGTGGTTTCTGAGTTTATTGGTTGCTCTCCATCTCTCAGTGGTGCAATAAGGGTCAATCCATGGAATATTGATGCTGTTTCTGAAGCTATGGATTCTGCTTTAATTGTCTCTGAGGCAGAGAAGCAGATGCGGCATGAGAAGCACTATAGATATGTGTGCACTCATGATGTGGCATATTGGGCTCAGAGCTTTTTGCAAGATCTTGAAAGAGCATGTAGGGATCATGTGAGAAGGAGGTGTTGGGGTATTGGATTTGGCTTAGGATTCCGTGTGGTTGCTTTAGATCCTAGCTTCCGGAAACTGTCAGTTGAGCATATTGTATCAGCTTACAAAAGGACCAAGCACCGGGCAATCCTTTTGGATTATGATGGTACAATGACAGTCAGAAACTCTATCAGCAAGGGTCCAAATGCAGAGGTTATCAGTATCTTAAACAGCTTGTGCAGGGATCCAAAGAATATTGTTTTCATTGTTAGTGGAAAAGACACAAAGACTTTAACTCAGTGGTTTTCTTCGTGTGAAACACTAGGGCTTGCAGCAGAGCATGGCTATTTTGTGAGGTAAATATTTTATACCCTGGAATTATCTGTGTTGATTTCTACTGTTATCCCCAGAAGTGATAGATTATCAAGTTGATTTGTTTCATGGTTGTAAAATTGCTAATCACTAACAAAATCTCGAGACTTCGTGTGTGGGAAGTGTTCTCGCTGAAGTACAGAGTTTGCTTCAATTAGTCAAATAACTATTAAGCAGAAGAGTAGACGATAAGTATGCAAGATAGCAGAATTGATCAACACTTCAGGAGAAACCTGATAAGGAGGAGTTCTAACAATTTTTAGGAAACATTAACTCTGGTTCTAAATGCAGTCAGTAAACCGGAGGTAGATGACAGCTTGCTGTTCAAGTTTATCTGTGAGGCTAAATTCCACTTTCTCTATCTGTCTTTCTGCTACTAGTTGACTAGTAGATGGCATAGTTTTTCTGTTCCTTGTTTTGCTGGTGTATTACTTATCGTTGGTTCTTCATTCTTGTTTTCGCTTTCTTTTAGGCCTTAGGGTGGTCTCTGCCACCAGGGGAGAGGCACTGTGGTGTTTAAGATGTTTTAAGCTGACAAGTAACATACTGCAACTTTTATGCTTTATTTCTTATTTTGATATTTTCAGACAAATCATAATATCCCAGTTGCACTGGAAAAGATGAGGTCTAACAAAAATTAGATATTGATCGGTCCATGCCACTCTACCAAAATTAGGACTAATTGCTTTTTTCACGTCAGTTTGGTTGTGTCAAGCACCAGTTAATATTGAACTCTTCCACATGAGACATTTCAACTCCTTTTGGCACAAATTCATTGAGTTCAAACAGAGCTAGTCCTAACTACAAGAGCCAATTAAACTGTTCAATCTTCTCTGGTTGAGAGGTTGAACTAGAAGTATACTTACTACAGTACTGAGCATGCAAGGTTTGTTTCAGTGGGACCATCTACGGATATCTTTTATGGATGTCACTAACTTTAATCGTTCTCAAGGGATGGGGGACAACAGGATCAAAATTTTCTTGTCCATTTGACACACTTCAATTCAAGGAGTGCTGAATTTGCTGGTGTTTCAGATTTGATTTGATGACAGTAAAATTTCTAAAACTTAGTTAAACTTGGACTTGGCGCTTCTATGGTGGATGCTGTCAGAGTTTCGTTTTTGTAGCACCTTGATAGTCGTCATTTAGAGGGAAGAGCAACATATTAAAATCAACATTCTTTCCATAACTTAGGGCTTGCTTCTATAATGTGAAGATTTGTTCTTGGTGAAAACAGAAAACTGCCCGAGTGTATGTGTATTCTACTCCTAAGGGCAGACTCCTTCAATTTTTACAGATGTCTGTTTTCCGTCTATGCACACCGCACACAGTTTGTGGGGAAACTGGTCGGAGGAGTTTATTAGTGCTTTTCCTTAACTTTAACCGTCTCCACCTGCACTTGATGCTTGATGTTTTGTTTTCTTTATGAAGCTGAAACAATTCCTTTTCAGGCCAAATCACGATGCCAAATGGGAAACTTGTGTTGCAGTAGTAGATTTTTATTGGAAGCAGATTGCTGAGCCTGTAATGAGCCTCTACACAGAAACCACTGATGGTTCTTTCATAGATAGCAAGGAAAGCGCACTTGTTTGGAATTACCAATATGCAGATCCAGATTTTGGCTCATGTCAGGCAAAAGAGCTTCTAGATCACTTGGAAAGCGTTCTTGCAAATGAACCGGTTACCGTCAAGAGTGGCCAGAACATTGTAGAAGTGAAGCCTCAGGTGAGCAGTATGATGTCTTTTTTCACATTTCTCGCATGAAGCACTTCCACAATCATTGTATATATCGTGAAGACGTCTAAGAATCCTATTCATCCTAGTCTATACTATTTTGACCGTGTCTAAAAACTCTTCGATCGAGCCCATTGTTGTTACTCATTGCTTCAACTTCCATGATTCTCACATTTTACTGACCATAAAAATTGCTTACAGCCTCTAACTCAGCTAGTATTTTAAACCACTGTTATCAAGCATTTGATCTCTTACGGCAGATAACATGATAAAAATTTGTTTGTTGCTTCCTTGTGTAAAATTTTAGAAGTAAACCAACAAAACTGAACTTTAAGAATTGGTTCTATTATGAAACTTAATATATATGATAGCTTTGTAGTTTTTATTTGGACACTAATCACATATGGAGAATTTGGAGTTGTGTTTAGAGTTCAAACATGCTCTGCAAAAGAGTCAGCAACTCTATTTTAGAACTAAGCATGCTTTCTTAAAATAGCTTACACACTATAAATCCTGTTCATTAATAAAAGTACATTTATCATGTTAACTTTCTTTGGTTTCCTGAAGTCGGAAAATTAGAATCATATCTCTTTTTCTGATTCGAATTTCTCATCCTTGTTGTTTTCTTTGACTTCAATTTGATGGTTTACTTTTGCCATGAACGTTCATTTCAACCTCCTAGGGTGTCAGCAAAGGTCTTGTAGCAGCACGTCTCCTAGAAACAATGCAGAAGAAAGGAACGGTACCAGACTTCGTGCTCTGCATAGGGGATGATCGATCAGATGAGGATATGTTCGAGGTTATAATGGGTGCTGTCGCAAGTGCCTCACTTTCCCCCGTTGCTGAAGTGTTTGCTTGCACAGTTGGCCAGAAACCAAGCAAGGCCAGGTATTATTTGGAGGACACTACAGAGATTTTAAGAATGTTGCAGGGCCTGGCTTCTGCTTCTGAGAATTCTGCTAAACATGTTTCGATATCTCCTCAACGCGTAATCATTGACCGAGAATAGGCAAATGAATATCTGAAAAGGAAGAAAAAGAAACAAGATTTATAGAAGGCTTTTTTAAACAGTTGCTATAAGTGTATTGACTGTTTTTAATTAGTTAATTTTACTTTGGGATGTTGTTATAGTTGTCTCTTAGAAATATCAATTTTCTTATGTTTACCATTTGCTCTTAAGGTTGTTTGTTGTCCACTTCAACTTGAAATCTAAGCATAATTGTAAAAATAACTATTCATTTAGTGTATTTTCTAAGAGCATCTTTTGTTTTTACCTTACGAGAAAAGGGTCAAATGCCCCCTCAAGCTTTAGGCCATATTTCCAACTACACACTTAACTTTTGGGGGGGTTCTATTACCCCTCTGAACATTTTTTAAAAATATTGTTTCACCCTCAGACGCTGACGTGATCACATACGTGTACTCACCTCCGTATGACGCGAAGAACGCGATAAAATGTCCATGTGGAGTTTAAATAAGCCTCTCAATGGTAACTTTACTCTTTATTTAATCATACATTTTTTTTAATTATTTTTTTCACTTTGTTCTTCATCCACAATTGTCCTTTTTTCATCTTAAACAAAAACTCCCTTCTTTGTTCTTCATCCACCATTGTTCTTCATCAATCATTTTTTTCTTATTAGCAAACGTTTTCGTAACTTCTTCAACTACGATTGAAGTTAGGATTTCCAATTTTGTCAAATTTTAGCTTGATTTTCTTCTCAATTCGACAGATTGTTTTTTTTTTGTTATTAGGGTTAGTAATGTTTAACGTGAAATTGAATAAGATCAGACTCGATGCTCAAAATCATAGTAAGGTGCAAACATGAAAATTTGTTGCATATGCAGACTTCTTGGTTGAAGTCGAATCCCGATAGACGATTTTGGTCATGCCCCTACTATGGTGTATGTTACTTTTCTTCAGTTATTTGATTTTGTTTAACTGATGTGAATGTTAATAACGTAATATATTGTTTTTATTTTTTCAGTCGAACAAGTGTAATTTTTTTTGATAGAGAGATATAGAAGAAATCGATCCAAGATCCCAATTTATCTTTCCAAAATTGGTGAACAGAATTAAAGAGTTGGAAGATGAAGTTTGGAAGAGACAGATTCAAATCAATGAGCAACAAGTTCTGATTGATAATTTGACAAGAGAGAAGAGGTTCAAAAGAAGAAATTTGAAATGGTGTACGTTTGATTGAAAGGTCATTTCATGTATTTTTATTTGTGTTGCAGTTTTTTCATGAACAACCTATTTCAAAGTAGGGTTCATTCAAGTATTGAAGTAATTGATTTCCATAACGTATGTCAGTAGGTAGTAGTGAAAGGAGTTGAAACTCTATATTGATTGTCATATGTATTATGAGAAATTTTGCATATCAATATCATTAATCTTTTCAATTGTAAAACATGTCTTTAGTAGACATAACACCATTTTTAAGAGTGTCTATATTAGTGTCTATACTACGACAAATAAGGATAAGCATAACACAATTTGTAAGAGAAACGACCTTCAATAGACATAATCGATTGTAAAACAGGCCACACATAATGTCAAATTACAATAAAAGCTCAAAACAAAAACATAATTTGATGTTCAATACTAGTACATCATCATTCAAAATGGGAAATGTTTTCTTGCCTACTTAAAACAATACTGCAATATCATTACTTCCTAGATTGGATTGGTTGAACTACTTCCGCTTGATTTTCTCTGTTCCCTTCTCATTTGTTGAAGTTTTCTTGTTGTGATTGCTGCTTTTTCATTCCATTTCAACTAGGGTGCAGTACTTGGTTTGTAACCAATATCACCAGTAACATCAACAAATTTTGTCACCTTTGTTAAACCAGTAGAGAAGATCTTACAACTTGACATCCCAGGCTGTATTCAAAGTATGAAATAATACTGACTGAATTTATAGTTAAACACTAAAAAATAGTATAACTGAATCAATAGAAAACACTTACATTAAGAGCTTTGAATCCATCTTCAGCTTGAAACACACCTATTTGAATCACTGCTTGCCTTTTGTATGAGGTTGTGTTTTTCCTACCCCTTCCTCTTCCTTTGTTACTATTATCAGGCGATGGACATGTAGAAGGTGCACTAGGGAGAAAAGAAAAAGAAACAAAATCCCTAATCGAACACTATTAATCAAACACTAATAAACAAAACCCCTAATACTACGACACACATATCAAAATGACATTTGAATGCCCAGTTCAACAAAATCATAATAAACATTAAAATAACACTATCATCAAAACTAAAATAAAATATCAATATAATATTTAGTTGATAAAAAATAATCCTAATAAACATTAAATGACTCAAATAAATTACAAACTATAGCACACCAGCCAAAATAACATTTGAATACGCAGAAAAAATAAAACTTTAATCGAACACTAACATCAGAATAGTATTCAACTAGTAAAGATCTAACATTTTTCTCAGAAGGAATCGCAAGTAAGCTTTCCGATTCAACAATGGCTACTCAACGCGACTGGAAGAACAAAGAAGAAAAAAGAAAGAAGAAAGGGGTTTTCTTTGGTTTTGGAGGGAAAGAAGACTTTTGTCAAAAGGTAAAGGTAAAGATGTCACACGTGTCAATTTTTTCAAGTCTTGTAAAGTCGTGGGATCCATGATTATACACGTGTATAACATGTGTATACAAATAATTTTTATAAATCAGGTACATGTTACCACGTCAGCGTCTGAGGATGAAATAATATATAAAAAAATGTTCAGGGAGGTAATAAGACCCCCACAAAGTTACGTGTGTAGTTAGAAATATGACCAAAGCTTGAGGGGTCATTTGACCTTTTTCTCTTTACTTTATTGATCATATTGAAGTTAATCAGTCTCTTATTTAGTTCCTTTTACTCTTTTCTAGCACTATCAACCTAGGGGTGTTCATGTGTCTATTTTTTAAACCAATTAAATTGGTTTATCAAATGTTGGATTTAAAGAAAACTAATTAAGTCATTTTTTATAATTGTTTTAATTTTTGTTAGTTTTGTCTATTAGAAATTGATATTCTTTTATGCTGTTTTAGTTTTTAGAGGTATTTTTAGTAGCTAAGTCGGTTGATCATCTTAACTTTTATTTTGTTGATGATAGTTTGTTGCTATTACAACAGTTCTTTGCCAAGTGTGGCACCATAGTATTTTAAAGGTCGAATTCATAAGCAAATTTTAAACTTGTTGGGTCTTTCCCTTTAGGTACCTAAAATACGTCATATTCCTATTGGATCATTGAACCATCTATAAGTTGTTCCTTTAAAAACTGTTGACTAATTTTGATCGGCATTTTTATTGTAAATGCCTTCAATTGTGTTCGTATTGTAATGATTTTGATTGAAGGAATGGAGACAAACTGTGTGTTAGTCTCATATGTTTTCTAATGTGTTCAAATAACATGAAGTAAACCACAATTATTCTCGAATAATTTTACTAATAATTGGACAAATGAGTTTTCGAACAATATATGTATCCTCTATCAGTACTCCTCACAAAATCTGGTTCCACATCAGTCAACAGTGTTTAAAAGAAACACATTATAAGTGGTTCAATTATTCAATAGGAAAATAACATAGTTAAGATACCTGAGGAAAAAAATTCAACAAAAAATTCTCTCTCTATATACTGACGAATGAGGTGAAAAAATTATTGAAATGAAGAAATAACCTATGTTGCCCTTTGGGGCCGCCTACGATCACTTCTTATGGGCTCATTCAGAATAATATCTAATATCAAATCAGAATTAACTAAGATAGAAATAAAATGTTAAATTAATTTTATTTTTTATGTCAAAATAATAGCTATGAATAGTAATAAACTTTCGGAAAAGAGTAGAAGATTAACAGCCCTTGGCTCTAACAAAAATGTGAATAAGCAATAAATTTTGAAAAAAAGAAAGGAAGAGGGGGAAAAAAAAATATTTATTGAACAACATTAAAACTAGGGTTCACGTTACCTGAAATTATACTAAAATAAAGTGCCACTTTTTTTCCTCTAAAGTCCAATTTCTTTCTTCTTCTTCTTACAACCCCCAAGTTCTTCCCTTTACGCTTATTAAGCCAAAGAAATTTTTGCTTTCTTCTGTCTGTAATTCAATGGCAAAGAAATCCAAAGATAAGAAGAAACAACAACAACCATACAATGAAACCTCAAATTCTTCAGATATTTTCAATACCCTTTTTGGAGCAACCCCAGCAGATTCCAACATTGCTTCACTCTTTTCTGACGAAAATCCATTTAAAAGAAAGCCTAATGATAATCCAACAGCTACCGAAGAGCCTAAATTAGGTGTTGTAGAAGTTTCTATTGAGAATCAAACTGATGGGGTTTCTGGGAATAATGATTCTGGTAGTGCAGAGCTTAAGAAGAGGAAGAAAAAGGATAAAAAAGTAAACTTGGATTCTGGGTCTGTAGCTGAAGAAGTTAATGAGGAAGAAGGGGGGAAATCGAAAAGGGTTGCTTTATCTGGGGTTGAGGAATCAAATGGTGTAGTTTCTGATTCTGGGAGGAAGAAGAAGGCTAAAAATGTAATTTTGGGTTTGGAATCTGTAGGTGAAGGAGTTAAGGAATCAAATGATGGAGTTTCTAATTCTGGGAACCTGGAAAAGTCGGGTTTAGAGTCGAAGAAAGATAAGAAGAAGAAGAGGAAAAGGGATGAGATTGAGGCGGAGTATGAGGCGAAGCGATATGGGGTGGTTGCGGTGGAGGATGTGGAGAAAGGGATTGGAGAAATGGTGGTAGGGGAAAAGAGGAAGAAGATGGATAATCCAGAGGATATGATGGTCTCAAATGAGGGATTTGATGATGAGAGTAAACTTTTAAGGACAATTTTTGTTGGGAATTTGCCTTTGAAGATCAAGAAGAAGGCTTTACTGAAGGAGTTTGGGAGTTTTGGAGAGATAGAATCAGTGAGGATTCGGTCCATTCCGGTAGCCGATGTGAGTGTTAGCTATTTATTCTTTGCATTAATGTGGTTTACATGTTAAGTATTATGTCTACTTATTTTCACCTTAGAACCTATTTTTGATTTGAAATGTCCTTTTTCTCAGAGTGCAACTCCAAGGAAGGCTGCTATCATTAAGCAAAAACTCAATGATAATGCGGACAGGTTAGATAAACACATAGCAATTGAACTGTATTATGTTTTTTCTCAATAGTTAAATGTACCCCAATAGAGTGGAATGGGTACTGAGGATTAATGTAGGTGACCCCAACTAATTTATATTGAGGCGTCGTTGATTGATTGTTGATGATGCTTCTCATAATTATAGTCCAGTAAGTTGTACTATGATATCAAAGTTGCTTGATCATGCATATGGTACGATAGAGACATCCTTTCTTTTCTTGTAACGGGGATGGGAGATAAAACTTTCTTGTTCATAAACTGTTGGTTCTTTGAATTCATTGTTATGTCAGTATATTTCTTTATATCTGATTTCCTATTGTATGATAAGGTTGTTTGGTTGTAATTGCAGTGTTAATGCTTATGTTGTTTTTAAATCAGAGGAATCTGCCCAGGCATCTTTGGCTCATAATATGGCAGTGGTAAGCTTCTCTTAGAGTTGATTCATTTGCATATTCTTCTGAAGATAACTCATTTTCGGGAGTCCGATAGTTGCGATATTTGATTGTAGTTATCTATATAGGTTGGAGAAAGACATATCAGAGTTGACAGAGCATGTCCACCACGTAAGAAGATGAAGGGAGAAAATAGTGCTCTGTATGACAACAAAAGGACTCTTTTTGTGGGCAACCTTCCATTTGATGTGAAGGTTCGTTACCTGAGGGGAATGCTTGTTACTGTTCTAATCAGCCTTTTTCTTTCTGTATCCAACAATGATTTTGGTCACTTACTTGCAGGATGAAGAAATTTATCAGCTGTTCTCTGGTATGAAAGAATTTGGATCGAGCATTGAGGCTGTTCGGGTGATCAGAGATCCCAATACTCTCCTAGGAAAAGGAATTGCGTATGTTTTGTTCAAAACGAGGGTATATACTATCAACTTCTCTTGTTTTTCAAATTTATAATGGCATTACTATTTCTTTTCTTACATCATACTCGCTTGAAGTGATTCATAGTGAATAGTTGGCACTTTGATTTTGGAGACGAACTAGAACTATATCCCTTTTATGTTTGCTTTAACAACCACCTGGGTCCTCTGAATGATGAACACAGTATATAATATAACCTACTGGTTTGGAAGCAAGGCTTAGTTGATTGATTGCTTTACACCTCATCTTAGATTAAGAAAAAACTCATTTTGTTTCACCTGGGAAAAGAGAGACGAGTCTTGGTCTATCTAGTTTCTTCACTTTAGATTGTTTTAGCAATTTTGTAGGAATTTAAGATTTGTGCTGTGTGCTTCATTATATAGACTACTATTTTAGCTATTGTTGGCATGCATTTCCACCTTAAATTGGAAGATCAAATTTTAATTTGAGATCAGTTTCTTGCTTTTATTTATAGCTTTTCATAGACAAGGGTATTTGTGGTCATTGGTGCTAATCAAAAAGGCCACTTTACTTTTTGAGGTTTATTCATTTCTTCCTTTTGTCCTAGAAGATTCAATTAGCTTTTCCTTGGCTTACTTGGTGGACTTTATGGATGAAATTACATGGGTGCATTAGCTGCTTTAATTTTTCTTTTTTTTTGGGACAAGGATATCTTTTCAATTATTAAGTTATAAAAGTTGTCTTTTCAATTGTTACTCTTCTCCTGCCGTGTAACTGAGGCAGCAGTCCCTATTTCATAATCTAAATCTAGACTTAAACTGGTATTGGTTTTATCTCTGTTTTCATCAAGTAATTCTACCTTGTACTTGTCATCTTTGTTTAGTTGCACTGTTCGTCCCAATTTATGTGGCACTTTTCACTTCTTGAGAGCCAGTTTGACTAGTCTTTGAAGCTAAATTGGAGTAGATCAACTTAATATTTGATAATTAAACTTGAGATAATAAAAAAATATATGAAAACTACTAAAAGTTGCAAATTCTTTCCATGCCAATATGATTAAAAAATACATTATAAAATGTTGGTCAAAGGTTACATAGTTTGAATCTCGACAAGCAAAAAGTGCCACGTAAATTAAGACGCATGAAGTATTTATTTATTTTGATAAGGGCACTTATCCTCTTTATTCTTGTAAAACTAGAACAACTAAATAGGAGACCTACTGACTGACCCTAACCACCTTTTTCCTTTGCTTTGCACACAAGCACTAAAGGTTGTAGTTTTCTTGATCTTTAACAATATGTAGAAAGCAAATTCAACCTCTGAAAATTTTGAGCCAATTTCCTTAGGACAGGAAGAAAATGAGTTGAGGTTCAAGGAAAATGGAATTCTTTCTTTCAAACTAGCAAAACTAATGGATACATTTTCTTGAGCAATTATCCCTTGTCTCCCTCCGAACTGACAGAAAGTGTGCTGACAGGCAGGATAAATAGCAAATCATAAACCTTTCTTCTCCTCTTTTCAATAAATTAGACCAGAGTTTGTAAGGTAGTGACAAATTTTCCACATTAATGAGAAAAACTTCTTGCTTAGTGCTGCCACCTGCATTAGGAGGAGATGAGAGAAGAAAGGTCCCATTTATGTTGATCTTCCAGCAGTAGACAGTAAATTTTCTCTTCGAAGTGGATGACGCGTAATCAACCTTATGATGGGATTTTTTAGTAATCTAGCTTTCCTTCCTCAGTCGTGTTGATTGAAGGCAGTTGCCCAAATAAACAGATATGTAATCTGATGGTCTTTTACAAATGGTTGGAATATAATATTTGATATGTGCATCATTCTGTCTATATGGTTTTTCCTTGGACAAAGTAATACTTTTGTTGCAAAACACCTTAGAAGGAATAATAAAATTACCTACAGAAAGATTTGAAGGAATAATAAATTGAAACAACGGTTCGGTTTCTAGGACTCTTTTTTCTTTTCTAATACTATAGAGAAGTTGAAGTTAACTTTTTTGCAAGGATGAGAGAGTCAGTAAGTTTATATCCTAGTAGCTGAACTCGAAAGATAAGTTGTTCCTTATATATTTACTTGGGTTTGCAGGAGGCTGCGAACACTATTTCTAGAAAGCGTAACTTGAAATTACGAGATCGCGAGCTGAGAGTGTCTCATTCTAAAGCAGATTCTACTCCATCTAAGAGGAAAAGTTTATCAACCGAAGACAGATTTAGGTCCCCAGCAAAGAAGTTTGCAGCAGATTCAGCTAGACCAGGCAGTAGTAGCTATAAGGCTACAGCAAAGTCTGACATGTCCTATCAGGGCGTGAAGGCAAGCAAATCTGGTGTCCAGAAAAAAACTCAATCCAGGATGAGCGACCGGGGAAAGTTGAAACCTAAAGCACAGTTATCGACAAAGCCAAAAGAGCGCATAGGAAAGAGACCATCTGTTGCTGCCCGAAAAGCAAAAGAACTCAAGGCTGCTGCCTCTGGCTTGAAACAAATGGGAACAAAACGGAAGATGGACAACCGAACACCTGACACTGCAGGCAGAAAGAAGAAATTTAGAAAATCTTAGGTCATACATTCTCAACAATGTTATACATGAAAGTGTTCATTCATATGTTCACTTTTCAGGATTATAGTTCTCTGTTTCATCTTTAAGAATTAAATCGTGTACTACTCCCTCTTTAATCAAGATTTAGTGGATTACGTTTATTTTTTCTGTTTGTATGCCCGATTATACTTGATCGTTGTATGGACGGATAATTTCCATGGCGCGATATATTGCGGATCATCTCCTTGACATTGTATTTTTATCTACAATGTATTCTTGGATCCTATATCCTTTTTCTCTTCTAGCTGGTGAGTTCTTATATTGATTTCTCA